GAGAGTATTGTGTTTGTTTGCTATCCAGAGAAGAAAATTGGTCTTGCTGTTTCATCATCTTAATATGTCCGAATTGGGTTCATTACCGGACACAAAGATGACCGGATTAGAACATATACAGACATAGTGTTGTCCGGGTTCAAGTGTTTAACGTTTTGGTTAAGTGTCTATCCAGTTAACATGTCGTCCGGATACGGCTTAATCCGGTTATGTGCCATCCAGATACGGCTTAATCCGGTCATGTGCCGTCCAAATACGGGTTTTAATCTGTTTGACATGTCGTCCGGATTTGGGTTTTGTGTTTGACAAGTGTTGTCCGGATTTGGAATCCGGCCAAGCTTGTCCGGACATCTGTTGTCCGGATAGCTTGTCCGAATATGTATTTCTTGTACAAATGTTAAAGTGTTTGGAATATTTGGATTTTTCATAATTTAACAGTTATTTGGGATTAAATTTGTTATTGTGAAAGGGGTATTTTATATCTTTTAAAGTGAAAAGATATGTTCCTACCAAGTGTGGTGACGTAAGTCTGTTTTGGTATGTGTTTTGGGAAATGTTTCTACCACAGCGTGGTGATGTAAGTCTGTTTTGGTACAAAACTGGATTTTGGGAAATATTCCTACCAAGCATTGTGACATAAGTCTGTTTTGGTATGGAACTGGATTTTGGGAAGTGTTTCTACCAAGCGTGGTGACGTATGTCTGTTTTGGTATGAAACTTGTTTTAAGAGGTAGTTCCCCTAGATGTGGTGACATTGTCTGTTCTGGCTTGGAACTGGGTGATGGGTACTTCCAGACGTGGTGACTTATGTCTGTTCTGGTAAGTAGCTCTAGTTTAATGGAGGAATAAGGGTGACATATCAAGGAGAGGTGTACCTTGGAATAAGGGAAGCATTGTCATATGTGGATATTATTATAACTCTTGTTATTATTACTAATTAGATATAATAACTCTGAATCATCATTTCTTCGTGACTTAATGAATTAGAGATATTGTTCTTATTAAAAATAATAATTTAGATGTTATTGAGAATAGAAAAATGGTTTGTTATGAGAGGCATTTATTGCCTAAACTTTCTACCAATGCTTGAATACATACAGAGGGCCTCTGGTTGGTCTTTGAGTAAGGACCAGAGGACCTCTGGTTATGTAAAAAGGATTTTTGATACTCTGGGGTTCTTATAAATCAAAGGATCTGCATGTCTCATATAGAAGCTTTATATTTTAAAGTGTTATGTTTTATTCTTTAAATTGTCTTTTCATCAAAATTATTTATAAAGAAAGATTAAGAGTCAAAAGAACTCTGATTCTAGTTTTGTTGTCTTTTTAAATTATGTTATGCTTTTCTGGACCTAAGGTCGTATTTGGTCCGGAGGACCTCTGGTTGGTCTTTGATTCTTTCAGATACAGAGGCTCTGGTTGGTAAGGCGAAATAGGAGCTTTGGTCTGTTGAACCAGAGGGGCTCTGTCTGTTGAACCAAAGGGGCTCTGTCTGTTGAACCAGAGGGGCTCTGGCTTGTTGAGTCAGAGGGGCTCTGGCCTGTTGAGTCAGAGGGGCTCTGACCCATTGTAATAGAGTTCCATTTTGGACCCTGGGTTTTAGAGAGGGTGCATTTGCATTATGGATTGATATTAATTGTTGATCTTATTATGATCATAGTGTTGAATTGCATTATTTGGCTGAAATGCAATTATTTCTAGGTAAAGTTATTTTATCAGATTTTGGTGTTTATCATCCTGCATATGCAAAGAATAGATTTACTCACTAGACCCTTCTGATCTAACACTCATTTTCTGTTTCAAAAATATGTAATACAGGAACTGCGAGGTCCAGGGATATTAAGGGGAAAATGTGATTATTTTTCTTACTTGATATTTGTTTTTGAAGATCTGCATGAGATTGCTTATTTTGGAAGATACATGTTGTTATACATGTGATAGTACATGATTTTATTTTGGAATTTTTCATATGTAGATTTTGTATATATAAGAATCCTTGTACTAGTGGGACTATTGTGGTGTAAACTGTATTTCGTTGTAATGAAATATGTGTTATATGCAAATATGGTATTTGAGGGTGTTACAGTTATATTCTTTTGAGAAAGGCGTGTTTTATTAAACAAGGGTAGGAATGTCCTTTTTTGGCTGAATGTAGACAAGAGGTGTTTTTGTTCTGTGCGAATAAGCCTATTTTTGAGCAATTAAGTCCTAAGTAAACACATCATTTTGGTTGTGCGAATAAGCTCATTTACTCATTAAGCTCATTAAGTCCTGAGTAAACACCCCCTAAAACAAACTAATAAGATGATCGATATGGAAGAACTATTTAACAACTAAAATAAAAAATATATAATTTGATCAAAACAAAATGCTTACCGAAATTAATATTGTCTACATTCCATAAATAAATGGAATATTAAATAAGAGATAACTATCATACATATTAAATACAAAAAATAAGAGAGTTGTTAATTTTCTTATCTAACCGTCACCATCAAAATGACAGAAAAACCCTTAAAGATTAAAAAAAGTGAAAAACATGGAAATTTTTTGTTGGTTGATTCTTGTTTGCACGGTTTAGTCGGGTGCCATACACACATACATATATACACATATATATATATATATAGGTAAATTATTATGCAATCCTTTATATTTGTATAATTAATACAACTCAATCTTAACCATCCTTTTAATTTGATGAATATGTGATTTCATAAAAGTTTTAATTGTTTCTAATATAAAGTATTGATCATAATTAATGAACTCTAGTCATCTTTAATTAATATTCAAATCATAATAAATAAACTCTCATTATTTTCATAAATATCTCAACTGATTAGGTTACTTTAGTTGTATGTGATGGATTGCATTTGAAACATCCTGTATATCTATACTATATTATAAAACATTTGACAAAAACTCTTAAAAACCACTTTTTATGCATAAAGTACTGTTTATTAATGCATGTTACTTAAAACTCAAGATTACAAGTAGATTGTACGTAAGTACAATTTATTAAAGCTCCAAATCTGAATTCGTGTAACTAACTGTAGATAAACATAATCAAATACAGGATAAACATCTCATTTTAAATATAAAAAATCTAAAATATAATTAGGATAATTATTGAATTCTAACAGAATACTTAATTATTATATTTATAAAATATTATATTATTAAATAAAAAAKWAAATTATTTCATTATTAAACTTAAATTAAATTATAATAATAATAAAAATAAATTAAAAAAATTACATAAAAAATGAGAATTTTTAAATAATTAATTAATATTGATATATTTCATTTCAAATTTTTATGATAACTTTAAATTTTTATTTTATTCAAAAATAAAATCATTATTGTTTTTTTTAAAACACATAAAATCGTATTATAACATCGACAAAGACAAAAAATAAAATAAAACATTTAAATCGAGATGTGTCTCAGTGCATTATGTGAATACTTTTTTAATATAAATAAAATAGATGAATGGAAGACATCCATTTGCTATTTATCTAATTTCTAATCGTTTTGAATTATTTTTAAAACCAAACTTCTCATTTAATTAACCAACCTCTCATTTTTCCTTATTATTATTATTATTATTATTTATTTTATACAACAATTATTTTATTTAAATTTGTACATAGTCTATTTATTTATTCTTTATTTTATTAGTTTACTTTTGTTTTTATTTACTTAATGTTTTTTTTTCAATTCACATACAAGGATATATTTTGGAACACTTGGTTCATTTTTCAAATTGCATAATCATCTTGGAATTCATAAAATTGCTCAATAACAATAACAATGCTAATTATTAGACATATCTTTTTATTATCTTTTTTTTCTGACTTTATTATTTTTTACGAATATAACATCTCCCCGATTATTGTATCCACTAAAATTTTTATGCATGTGTATAGATGACATGATCTCTTTAACATTGTATGTGATTGCCGAACACGACTCTCTGTTTTCCTTTACTTCTATACATCATTTTTTTCTAAATTTTTAATTGACTTAAAAAAAAGTAAAAGAAATGAATGAGAATATTGATAAAAATCACAATATCTATACTATATTATAAAGTATTTGACCAAAAAATTTAAAATCCATTTTTTATGCATGAAATACTATTTATTGATGCATATTATTTAAAATTCAAGATTAAAAGTAACTTTACATAAGTACAACTTATTAAAGCTTAATTTTTAAATTTTTGTAACTAACTGCGATATCAAATATAGGATAAACATTCATTTTAAATATAGAAAATCTAAATTATAATTAAGATAATTATTGAGTTATAACAGAATGTTTAATTATTATTTTTATAAAAATTATATTATTAAATCAAAAATAAATTAYTTTGTTATTAAATCTAAATYAATTTATAATAAAAAATTGAATTAAAGAAGTTACAAAAAAAATGAGAATTATTAAATAGTTAATTTGATATTAATATCGATTTATTTTTTTCAAATTTCTATGCTATTTTCAAATTTATATTTTTTTCAAATTTCTATGCTATTTTCAAATTTATATTTTTTTCAAATTTCTATGCTATTTTCAAATTTATATTTCATTCAAAAATAAAAACATTATCGTTTTCTTAAAATCACATAAAATCGTATTATATCGATAAAGAAAACGAAGATTTATCTCGCTGCATTGTGCGAGTGCTCTTCTAATTGTTACCTAGTACATGATAAATGTTAAGCACTACTAATACATCAAAATAGTCTTAGTGTAAAACAGAGTCTTTACTACCTTTAACACCTGTATCATTTATTTAAATGTCGTGTTTTATAAGACTTGAATTTATAATCATTAAGTATAGAGAAACAGAAAAGAAAAATTTACTTAAAATAATAACTTATTTTTGTATTTTCTTCTGTCATATTATGCAAAGAAAAATGGGTAAATTCGTTTTTGGTAAATAAAATTGGAACGGCATGAAGAAGAATGTAACGAGAGGGTACTATAAAACATACGTTATTTGGGTTCAATTTTTGTGGTGATATTGTATCCACCACTGTAATCGAATGTATGGTTGTCATCCGTTTTGAGCCCGCCTTCGTGGTACGGATGGTTCGGGGCACCTTGGACTGATCCAAACTCGGTGGCTGACGATGATGCGGATGTTGAGTTCGTGTGGAGTCCATCGCTCATTAGCATGGTCTCGAGTGTCTTCACTACATCGCTCATTGTTGGACGGTCTGCAGCCGCTTCTTCGACACATTGCATTGCTAATTGTACAAACCTCCCGAATCCGATCAAGAATGTTGAGTCTTGGAGATTCGGATCGAGTATTTCCCGCAATCCGTATGCCTCCTCGTCGGTTTTGTCCATCGCTAGCCTCACCTCGCGCACAATGTACTTCCCTTTGATAATAGGTTGTTTAGCGGTTATTAGTTCAAGCATCACCACCCCAAAACTATATACGTCGCTCTTATCAGTTAGTTGTTGTGTCATGTAGTATTCAGGATCGAGATATCCCTGTAACGTGTAAATTGTGTTAGCGGTTTGAAGCCGGAATGATTCCTTAACAATGCACAAGAAGAACTAATAAAAGCCAAACTAAACCAAACCGAATGATTCCTTAACATTCCTCAACACTACAGTGAAATTATATTTATAGGATACCAAAAGATGTGTAAGTGTTTTAATAGACGACTTTATAAGGCTTAAGTTTGTAGCACAAACAATTGTACATTTTAACACTCTTGGGCATTTTAACACGTTCTTTTAGCACGATTTTGAAATAAAGTGTCCTATACGTTTTTTGGAGGAGACTTTTGAAAAATGTCCTATTCACACACATTTTTATAGGGCTTCTATTTTTATATAACACTCTTTCAGATGTCATAAAAAATTAATAGGGTATTTTATTTCAAAGTTGTAAGGACCAAGAATCTTACCCGGCAAGAAAGAGACAAGGACCAAGAGTCTTACCCGGTAAGAACGAGGCAAGGACCAACTTACCCGGTAAGTGAGTGTAGGGGTGAACAAAAAACCGCCAACCCGCGAAACCCGCCCAACCCGAACCGCTAACAACCCCGATTAAACCCAAACCGCCAAACCGCTAA